AAGATTAGCTCTGAGCTAACATCTGTTGCCAATCTTCCTCTCTTTTGCTGAGGAAGACTGGCCCTGAGCTAACATCTATGCCCATCTTCCTCTACTTTATATGGGACGCTGCCACAGCATGGCTTAAGAAGTGGTGCGTCAGTGTGCGCCCGGGATCTGAACCTGCAAACCCCGGGCCACCGCAGTGGAGCACACGCACTTAACCGCTATGCCACTGAGCCAGCCCCCATTCTTTCAGCACTTCAGATATATCATGCGACTCCCTTCTAGCCTGTAAGTTTTCTGCTGAGAAGTCAGCTATATAGCCTTATGGGGTTTTCTTTGTATGTTACTTGTTGCCTTTCTCTTGCGGCTTTTAGGATTCTCTATCTTTAATTCTTGACATTTCAACTATGATGTGTCTTGGTGTGGGCTTCTTTCAGTTTATCTTTTATGGTGCTCTCTGTGCTTCCTGTACCTGGATGTCTGTTTCCTTCCTTAGGTTAGGAAAGTTTTCAGCTATTATTTCTTCAAATAGGTTCTCTGCCCCTTCGTCTTGCTCGTCTCCTTCTGGGACACCTATAACACGAATTTTAGTGTACTTGATGTTTTCCCAGAAGTCCCTAGAGTGTCCTGGTTCTTTTTAATTCTTTTTTCTTTTATCTGTTCAGCCTGGGTGATTTCCTCTAGTCTTTCGTCCAGCTCACTGATCTGTTCTTCTGTAACATCTATCCTGCTATTGAGTCCCTCTAGTGAACTTTTCATTTCCAGTATTGTATTCTTCATTTCTGATTGGTTCTTTTTTATATTTTCCAATGTTTTGTTGACGTTCTCACTGCGTTCATCCATTCTTCTCCCAAGATCAGTAAGCATCCCTATGACTTTTTGTTTGTAGTCTTTGTCAGCTAGATTGTTTATCTCTTTTTTGTTTTGTTTTTTCTGGGGTTTTGTCCTGTTCCCTTACCTGGAATGTATTCCTCTGTCTCCTCATTTTGCCTCTTTCTCTGTGCTTATATCTACGTATTAGGTAGGTCAGCTATGTCTCCCGATCTTGGAGAGGTGGCCTTATGTAAGACATGCCTTATGAGGCCCAGCAGTGTGCTTCCCTTTCGTCACCAGTTCCAAAATGTTCCAGGAGTGCCCCTTGTATGTGCTACATGTGTCCTTCTGTTGTGGCAGGGTCGCTCTTGCTGCAGGTGCCCAGGGAGGCTACGTTGTCCCCCTGGCCGGCTGGTTGTAATGCTCAGCTGCATGTGGCTGCTACAGTCCCTTCAGTTACTTTTTCGGGCATGGGGACCCCCAGCACAGTAGGCTGCAAGGTCTAATGGCACATTCCTGCTGCAGTTTTTCTGTTAAGTGAGTAGACCCCCAGCGTGGCTGGTTGCTAGGCTCAGGGGCTTACAATTGCTGCAGGCCTCTGGCCTGATTGGCTGTTGTCAGCTCTCAGGCTTGCAGCTGGGTGGGGCTGGCCCCAGGCATGGGAGCACCCAGTTGTTTCACGCTTTGGAAGGTGGGCCCGATCCTCTATCTGGCTGTTTGAGAAGCACAAGTCTGCTACAGCTGACAGGCCCCATTGCCTGCATGACCACACACCCTGTCTACAAAGTCCTGTCCCATGTGTGCTCCCTGACCCACTGATGTGGGCCCAGTCACCCCACTACAGAGTCCCCACAAACTCCCCAATGCAGGCCCGCCCCTCATGCACACCCTGCCCCACAGAGGCCAACCTACTCACCTGGCTGCAGAGGTTCCAGGCACCCCGCCTATGCGGGCCCACAAGTTGCCCAAGGGCTTGCTACTGGATGGGGCCAGTCCCATCCAGTTTTCCCTAGGGTGGGCTGCCTGCCCTTGCTGAGCTGGATTAAATCAGTGCTTTAGTGGGTGGGGCAGACCTTGGGCAGAGAGGCCGAGGGAAGAACTCCAAAGACATCTGCCAGCGTCTGTGTTGGCATGCCTGTACTAGGTCACAACAATGTCTGATGCCCGTGTCTCAGTCCCTGGGGAGGTGGTCCCAGCCTGGGGAGGTCTCACCTGTCTCCAGGATGCACCCAGAGCCTATCACGTGAGTCTCTTTTCACCATAGGACTGTGCTCCTTTCTTTCTGGTGATTTTAGGTTGCTTTTTGAAACGGGTGAATTTGTGTGTGGGCCCTTTAAGAGCAGGCTTTTTTTCCCCTTATGTTTGATAGCTTTTCTGGGGATGTTCCCCGTGGTTGTGAAGAGCCAGCAACGCCAGGTGTTATGACAGTCGTCTCAGTTGTGCTGAGTCCAAAAGCTGCTTATTGTGGTAACACTCCCCCCCTCAGATCCCCCGCTCCTCCAGGGGAGGCTTCGTACCTTAAGGTTGCTCCCGGCTTGCCATGAAGCGCAGTTGCTCGAAGGTGGCTTTTTAATCTCTCCAGAAAGGAATTTCTGCCTCTTCTACCTCTGTCAGGATTGTTCCTTGTTGTGGGGGTTCTTTTTATCCAGTGTGCAGTTCTCTCTCAGGGGTAGTTGTTCCAAGAGTAGTTGTCAATTTGTTGTGTCTGTGGGAGGAGGTGAGTTCAGAGCCACCTATGCCGCCATCTTGAAACTGTCTCTTGGTTTCGTTTTTGTTTCTTTTTATCGTTTCCTTTCCTCTGCCAAGATTTCCTATCTTTTTGTTTATCGTGAACTACTTATCTATATGTCCTTCCACACAGCTGTGACATCTGCTTTAACATCCTTGTTTGCTCATTCCAGCATTTTTGTCATCTCAGGATTGGTTGCCATTGGTTGTCTTTTTTCTTAAGAATTGGTCACATGTTGCTGATTTTTTTTCCTGTGTAGATAATTTTCATTTGCATTCTTGATATTCTGCAAATTATGTCGTGGGGACTCTTGCTTCTGAGAGTGCTGAGTTTTTGTTTCCGTGGTAGTCCTCTTGGTCAGACTCAAGTGTGCACTCTGTCTTGCCTGCAGAGATCGTGCACAGATCAGCCCAGGACGTGGGTGGAGTTGACACACGGAGTTTGGGGTTTTCCTTCCCTACTTCTCTGTCTCTTCTCTGTTGTTCTCCACAGCTTTGGCTGCGCTGGTTCCTTCTTCTGTCCTCATCTTGCTGCGCTGCCCCAGGGCACAGCCTGAGAGCTGGAAACTCCCCCACCTGGTGGCCTCTGCCATGTCCAAGTCCCCTGCACAATGTCCTGGGCCCACAGGCAGGTGGGGTGTGGCCTGTCAGGTTTACACGAGGTTGGTTCTAAGGAGTGTCCGTCTGCACGCCTTTTCATGGAGCTCCACGGCCCCTTCTGGCTGCTGGTGTGTGTCTTCAGCCACACCTCATGTTGCCCCACAGAATCACACTCGCCAAGGGAGAAACACCCCTCCGAGACACCACTTCTGGGTCGGGTGGGCTGTCTTAGCTGCCTTGGGGGTGGGGGGCACTCAGGCCTGGTCCCCTCTGCACCGTCCCATGTCTAAAGGGCTCTGCACACGCTCAGGGAGACGCCGTCATATCTGCTGTTCTCAGGTCCCCGACCTGCAGTTGCCATCTTCCTTCTCTTGGTGCCATAACCTGTGGTTGCCCATCTGCTTCCTTGTCTGCTCCTATTGCGCTGTATCTCAGAGGACTTATTGTAGATTTTAGTGTTTCACGTTTTAAAGCCCGCTTCATGTTCTGGCTTGAATAGTTTATAATATTCATGTTGTGATTGTGGCTATTTTGTAATGTAGACCTTTTCATCTCAGTGTACTTAGTGCATTAAGTGAATAAGCACAAATTCTATACAATCATAATTATTCCTAAAACTTCCTCCCTTCACTTGTCTGTGAGCAGGGAGACATGGGTCTGTGCACGCACAGCACAAGGGTGTGAACTAGAGCTAAGTGTGACCGTCTCGCCTCACATCGAGAAATTCTCTTTTTCTAACTATATAATATGGCATTCAGATATGGTAAATGTGTGTGTGAGACGTGTAGCCGATATCATCCAAACCAAACCGAAAAGTTAATTAGTTTTCTTGTTTTCGTTTTCATTACAGGCCAGATTTGAATGTCAAAGTAATTGTTAAGTAGTACTGAAACCAAGAATTGTTATGAAGCCCTCAATTTTTAGATAGCAAAACATTAGACTATAACAAATTGGTTGAATGTTGTTAACTAAAACACAAACTGGTTAGAATTTTTTATTTTTTGGTCACTATCAGTGATGTGATCTTAAGAGAATGGAGTTTGGAGCCACATTGACATAGATTTCAGTCCTACATAGATTTCAGTCCTAATTTTCCATTTACTATCTTTGTGGTCTTGGCAAGATATTTAATATCTATGTTTTAATTTCTCTGTCTTTAATGTAGGAATAATAACATTTCTTACCTTAAAATTGTTGCAGATTGGATTAAATAGCACAGGTAGAAGCGTTCTTGGACGCCTGGTGTGGCACAGTCCTCAGGATGGGGTGGCTGAGGTAGCAGGATGGAAGCCCCACGTCCCCTGCAGACAGCATGGGAATGTGCTCAGTCACGCTCCTCATTAATGCACATTCCCTAACCCAATTTTCTCACTTTTATTCTTATTCTAGTGTTAGAATGACACCTAAAATCTAAATGTTCCCTTTAGGAAAATCAAACAAATCAAAGTTGTTTAGACAGTAACAAAGTACACATTTAGAAGGTGGTAAAAGATAAGTACATAGGTGTCGTTGATTGAGAAGTGGCCAGGTTAGAGCCTCCTCTGGGTTTTGATGGCCGAGGGTTGAGGTCCTAGTGGTGGTGGCACGGAGCCGTAACTGAAGTGTCAGAACGAGTGGCAAAGCAGCGACGGGAGGTCGTCCTGTTTGACTAGACCGATGTACTTGAAGTCGCTGGAGTGCAGCATTTTGGGTGTTTTTCCAATATTAAATGTCCTTTGGTGACTTTGTTAGTTTGCTCCCACAGCTGTTTTGTTTTTCAAGCTGTGAAGTCTCTCCACTTCTGTAAGAATGAATTTAGGCTGAACTGTGAATTAAAAGAGGGAAATTATGAAGTTGATACAATTAATTTGCCTCTGAAATGTGCTTTTTTTCAGGTTATGGATAACAGAAGTTCTGAAATCGAGGAGCTGAAATCCATTATTGAGAACCTGCAGGAGAATCAAGAACGATTGCAGAAGGATAAAGCAGAAGAAATTGAACAACTCCATGAAGTCATTGAGAAGCTGCAGAGCGAGCTCTCCCTTGGGGGCCCCGTGGCGCGTGAAGTCAGTGACTGTCACGCTGAAGACCTGCAGAGTGAGCTGGATCGCGGGCTGCGCTGCCTCCAGGCGGAGGGAGCGGGGGCCCACGCAGCTCTGGAGGGCGAGCTCCAAGCTGCACTCGCTGCCAAGGAGGCCCTGAGCCAGCTGCTTGCTGAGCAGGAGTGCAGGCATGGCCAGGCCCTGGAGGCGCTGCAGCAGCACCTGCGGGGTGCGGAGGAGGCTGCCGCAAGGCAGCTGGCAGAGCTGAGGCACAGCACGGCCCTCAGGGAGGCCGAGGTCCAGACCATGGCCTCCCAGATCCAAGAGTTTGAAGCTGCTCTCAAAGCAAAGGAAGTGAAGATTGCAGAGAGAGATTTGGAAATTGAGGCCATGAACAGACAGAAATCTACCTACTCCACCGAGCTGGAGACCATCCTGTCGGCCTTCACCCGCTTTCGCTGCGCCCTGGAGCAGCAGCCCCTGGCTGCCGCGGGCGAGCCCCCTGAGCTGCAGCGGCTCCGAGCCCAGTGTGTCCGCCTCAGCCGCCAGCTGCACGCACTGAACCAGCGGTTCCTGAGGTGCCAGAAGGAGCTGGACAAGCAGCAGGTGCACGGGGCGCTCCTGCACCCTCGTGTGGAGGGCTGCTCCCAGGGACGGGGCCCCTGGAGTGAAGAGGCCTCCTGTGATGAAGAGTCAAAAGAGGATGTGGGCAGCAGGCAGCTGACCACAGCCCCCCAGGTCCATGGCGGTGACCCACAGGTTGGCCTCGATTCGCCTGCAGGCCCACAGGTGGTGTAGCCTCTGTGCACAGAGAGCTGGGGTGTGCTGCGGGAGCTGGGCGCCCTCGGGGAGCTGGGGGAGCTGGGGTGTCCTCGGGTAGCTGGGGGGAGCTGGCGTGCACTGAGGGAGCTGGGGGAGCTGGGGCACGCTTGGGGAGCTGGGGGAGCTGGGGTGTGCTCGGGGAGCTGGGGTGCACCTGGGGAGCTGGGGGTGCTCCGGGTCTGAGGAGGCTCTCAGCCAGACAGTGAGTGGCCAAGCACTGGGGCTGGACCAGAGGGAGTTGGATGTTCTCTGAAGTAGACTGAGTTTCTTTTCTTTTTCTTCTGTTCTTTTAGTTTTAATGATTTTCCTTCTTTCTCTGCTGGGTGGGGGGGATGCAGTTTCCGTTGGGTGGCTCGTGACGTGAAATGAGTCTGAAGCTCATGCTGGCCTGGGGCCCATTTAGGATCCATAGAACTTCAAGTCAGAGCACATGTACACAGGGAAATCGGCTGGGGTTTCACTGTTTTGTACAATTTTAAACTTACTATAAGTTACTTAAGCTTTTGTAGCACTTCTCTCATACGGTAGGGAACGTCAGTGATGTGGTGAGCACCTGGAGTTAGGTCTCTTAATTCCTCTCTGGGTTCTCATCAGATGGTTTGTCTTTTAGCGCGATTTCCCATGTAGAACGTTTTATGCTCCTTTGATTTTGCAACATGCTCCAGTTTGTTTTTGAGTAGAACTCAGGATTCACTGCTGCCGCCCCACACCAGCTTGGCATCCTGTGTCGCATGGCTCCCGTCCCGCGTGCTTTGTGGGGTCACCCCCAGCTGGTGCCTGTGCCTTTGGAGCCCTCAGCCTCGAGCACAGCTTGACCTGCTGTGGGTGGCGGGCCTGCAGCTCTGGTCTCATGCTCTCCGTGTGTGCTTTTGGAGACAGGGACTTGCTGGTCACCACCTGTGGACTTCCCCTCGGGGCCCTGCTGGCTGACATGCCGGCTCCAGGGCTCCCTTGAGGCTGAAGCAGCCCAGCAACTGGCCTCCCTTGCACATCTGACTTTCCAGTGTGTTGAGCTTTATCTTCGTAAGCATCGTAACTATTTTCTCTGCTTATTGTAGAGTCCAGTTAAGGATGATTTGCAGCCTGCTAAAGCCCTGGAGATGTTAAACCACACAGGTCTCCACAAACAAGACAGCGTGGTGTCGGTGCTCACGGCCTGCCAGAGGCAGCTGGAGTCTGAGCTGCTCTTGGTGAAGAAGGAAATGCGCTTGCGTGCGGGGGACCATGGCACAGTGTCGGGAAGAGCGAAGGTACAGGGCTGGTTCTGGGAGAGGCTGGGCACAGATCCCGTGGAGGTGACGGTGGGCGGAGGTCCACTCTGGCTCTCCTGCTGAGGTGACACACATGTTACGTAGACTGCAGACATGCCTTGGTCTCTGAATCCGTTGTACTCTCGTAGCAGTGCTGGCAGATCTGTTTTGAAATTTCCTACATGTTTTATTTAAACACTCTCTAGCAGCACACATGTCCTGTGGTCTAATCAGCTTGCAAAAAACGAGCAGTTACTTCTCTTTGTGATTCGTACAAGCAGGCTTGACCTGGGCTCCAGGGCTTGTCTCCAGGATTGTGGTGTGACGACAGTTGCCCGCACAGCTGTACCGTGGCTCACAGCCTTCGTCGCCAGCATCTGTTTTACTTTGAAAGACATCACATATATTTTTTGAACCTCAGTTTTTGTTCCCTACATATTTTTAGTTGTGCTCCCAGCAAAGCAGAGCAGAGAGTAATCTAGAAATCAACAGTTTTAAAATTCTGATCACTAGGACAGAAGCTACAAGAAAATTGACATTTCTTTTCCTGGGGTGGGGAGGTTGCACATCAGCAACATCAAACTGTTGCAGGGTTGAGATGTTCCGAAAACCAAAAGTGGTCGGCTGGTTTGGAGGTTTGCCAAAGTGTCCTTGGGTCTGCAGCCTGCTTAGACCCGGGCTTTCTTGAGCCCCGTAACCCCGCTGGTGTGGACATTGTACTCTTTGCTGAGATATTCAGCCCTCAGCTCCTGGGAACACTGCTGTGAGACCACCTGCCCCTTTAGGATAGGAGAGCCTGAAGATTCTGCATTCCACGGCACACCAGCCCGGGGTCTCAGAGCAGGATCACAGGGCCATGCCTGCGGTTCTGGTAGAAGACGCCTGGATCTGATGTCATTCGTTCATCAGATCCCTCGGGAAATGTATTCTGTTTGGGGAGAACCTTTTCACCAAGTCTGTGTAGCAAACTTGTCTCCGTGCCCTCATGATAGGAACGTGTGTTTGAATGATTAAGAGAAAGCTCAGCCCTGCAATGTCGTGAGCTGGTCGACAAGTTCTTAGAAGTCGCACACCGACGGAAATCCCATGTTCGTTCCAGAGCACGATTTTATTTTTTTCAATGTTTGCACATAGAACTTGCCAGGACTTTTTTTCCTTAAAAAAAAAAATGCTCATGTCCCCGGTAAATCACCACAGAAATAGGTTATGACAGTTGCCTCTGGGTGTGTGTGTGTGTGTGTGTGTGTGTGTCTGTGTGTGTGTGGTAAAATACACATAACGTAAGATTTACAGCTTAACTGTTTCTAAATGTACGGTTCCGTGGCATTAAATACCTTCACAGCGTTGTGTGACCATCCATCTCCATGGCTCTTTTCATCGTGTAAAACTGAAACTCTGTCCCTATCGAACAGTAACTACCAATTCCCCTCTTCTCAGCCTCTGGCAACCACCGTTCTCCTTCCTATCTCTATGAATTTGGCTCCTCTAGGGGCCTCGTATAAGCGGATCATACAGTATCTGTCTTTTGTGATTAGCTTACTTCACGTAATGTTCTCAGGGTTCATCCATATTAGCATGTGTCAGAATTTCTTTTTTAAGGCTGAATAATAATTCTGTTATATAAACCATCTTTTGTTTATCCATTCGTGCATTGGTGGACGCTTGGTTTGCTTTCACATTTTGGCTATAGTAAGTAATGCTGCCACGAACATGGGTGTACAGATATCTCTTAGAGACCCTGCGTTCAGTTCTTTTGGGTATACACCCAGCGGTGGAATTGCTGGATCATACGGTAATTCTATGTTTAATTTTTTGAGGAACGGCCATAGTGTTTTCCATGGTGATTGTACCTTTTGACATGCCCATCAAGAGTGCACAAAGTTTCTAAGTTCTCCACATCCTTGCCAACACTCGTTATTTTCTGTTTTTTTGATAGTAGCCATCCTCATGTGTGAGATGGTATCTTGCAGCAGTTTTAATTTACATTTCCCTAATGAGTAGTGATTTTGGGTATCTTTTCATGTGATTATTGGCCATTTGTATAACTTCTTTGGAGAAATGTCTATTCAGTACCTTTGCTGGTTTTCAAATCAGGTTGTTTCTGTTGAGTTTTAGGAGTTCTCTGTATATTCTGGATATTAGTCCTTATCAGATATATGACTTGCAAATGTTTTCTCCCATTTTGTGGATTGCCTTTCTACTATGTGGGTAGTATCTTTTTTTAATTGATGTCATAATAGTTTATAACATTGTGAACTTTTAGTTGTACGTTATCGTTTGTCAGTCAGCATATAAATGCGCCCCTTCACCCCTTGTGCCCACACCCCAACCCCTTCCTCCTGGTAACCACCAAACTGATCTCTCTGTCCGTGTGTTAGTTTATCTTGCACTTATGAGTAAAATCATGCGGTGTTTTTCTTTCTCTGGCTTATTTCGCTTAACATAATACCCTCTAGGTCTATCCATGTTGTTGCAAATGGGACGATTTTGTCTTTTTTTAGGGCTGAGTGGTATTCCATTGTATATATATTGGGTAGTGTCTGGTTTTTTTTTCTTTTTTGTGAGGAAGATTAGCCCTGAGCTAACATCCAATGCCAATCCTCCCCTTTTTTCTTGAGGAAGACTGGCCCTGGGCTAACATTCATGCCCATCTTCCTCTACTTTTTATGGGACGCCACCACAGCATGGCTTGACAAACGGTGTGTCAGAGCACGCCCAGGATCCAAACCCATGAACCCCAGGGCACCGCAGCGGAGTGCACACACTTAACCGCTGCGCCACTGGGCAGGCCCCAAGGGTGGGGTCTTTTGATGCACAAATTTTTAAAATTTCGTGAAGTCCAATTTCTCTCTCTTTCCTTTTGTTGCCTGTGCCTTTGGTGTCATAACCAAGAAATCATTGTCAAATCCAATGTCATGAAGCTTTTGCCCTATGTTTTCTTCTCACAGTTTTATACTTTTAGGTCTTTGATCTGTTTTGGGTCGATTTTTGTATATAGTGTTAGGTAAGGGTCCAACTTCATTCTTTTGCATGTGAAGATCCAGTTTTTCCAGCACCATTTTCTGAAAAGAGTGTCTTTTCCCTACTGAATGGTCTTAGCACCCTTGTCAAAGTCATTGACCACGTATGTGAGGATTTGCTTCTGGGCTTTCTATTCTATTCCATTGGTCTCTATGTTTTTATGCCATTACGACAGTGGGGTTTTTTTGTTTTTTGTTTTTTTTGCTGAGGAAAATTCGCCCTGAGCTAGCATCTGATGCCAGTTTTCCTCTACTTTGCATGTGGGCCGCCGCCGCAGCATGGCTGCTGACGAATGGTGTAGGTCTGTGCCCGGGAACCAAACCCAGGCCGCCGGAGCAGAGCGTGCCGAACTTAACCCCTAGGCCACGGGGCTGGCTCCACTACCACAGTGTTTTGATTACTGTAGCTTTGTCATAAGTTTTGAAATCAGAAAGTATAAGTCCTCCAAATTTGTTTTTCTTTTTTAAGCTTGTTTTGGCTCTTTGGGGTCCTTTAAGATTCCATATCAATTTCAGGATGGGTTTTTCTATTTGCAAAAAATGTCATTGGAATGTTGATAGAGATTGCATTGTATCTCTAGATCGCTTTGGTAGTATTGACATCTTAACAATATTAAGTCTTTCAATCCATAAACATAAGATGTATTTCCATTTATTTATGTCTTCCTTAATTTCTTTCAGCAATGTTTTCTAATTTGATTGTATAAGTCTTTCACCTCCTTGGTTAAGTTAATTCTTAATTATATTCTAATTTTTTGTTGCTATTGTAAATGGAATTGTTAATTTCCTTTTCAGATTGTTTATTGTTCGTGTATAGAAATTCAACTCATTTTTGTATGTTGACTTTGTATCCTGTGATTTTGCTGAATTCATTTATTAATCCTAACGTTTTTTTGTGGAATCTTTAGATTTCTACATATAAGATCATATCATCTGTGAATATAGATATTTTTACTTCTTCCTTTCCAATTTGGATGCCTTTTATTTCTTTTTCTTGACTCATTGCTCTGCCTGTAATTCCCAACACTGTGTTGAAGAGAAATGGTGAAAGCAGGCCCCTGCCCTGTTCCCGATCTTAGAGGAAAAGCTTTTACTCTATCACATTGAGTGTGATGTCCACTGTGTTTTTCTCATGTATGGCTTTTATTATGCTGGGTAGTTTCCTTCTATTGCTACTATGTTGAATGTTTTTTATCGTGAAAGGGTGTTGAATTTTTTCAAAGGCTTTTTCTTTCTTTCTTTCTTTGTTTTGTGAGGAAGATTGGCCCTGAGCTAACATCTCTTCCTGTCTTCTCTATTTTGTATGTGGGATGCTGCCACAGCATGGCTTGATGAGTGGTGCATAGGTCTGTGCCTGGTATCTGAACCCCAGGCCACTGAAGTGGAGTGCATGAACTTAACCACTATGCCACTGGGCTGGCCCCTCAAATGCTTTTTCTACATCGAGATGATCATGTGATTTTTTTTTTCCCCTTCATTTTGTTAATGTGGTGTATTACATTGATTTTCCTATGTTGAACTGTCCTTGCATTCCAGGAGTAAACACCACTTGATTGTGGTGTATAATCCTTTTAATATGCTATTAAATTTGATGTACTAGTATTTTGTTGAGGATTTTTACATCATTGTTCACAAGGGATATTGGTTTGCAGTTTTCATTTCTTGTAATGTCTTTGTTTGGCTTTAGTATCAAGCCAAATAGGCCTCATAGAATAAGTTAGAAGACATCCCCTCTGCTTCTATCCTATAAAAAAGACGTAGAGAATTGGCATAATGTTTTCCTTAAATATCTGGTAGAATTCACCAGTAAAGCCGTCAGGTCCAGGACTTGGTTCTGTTGGGAGATTTTTGATTACCGATTAAATCTCCTTTGTCTCTTGTAACCTTTCTTGGTTTAAATTTATTTTGTCTGATATTAATATAGCCACCCCTATTCTCTTTTGGTTAATACTTGCCTGGAGTATCGTTTTCCATTCTTTCAATTTCAACCTGTTTGTGTCTTTGTGTCTAAAGTAAGCTTTTTGTAGACAGCATATAGTTGGATCATGTTTTTATCTATTCTGCCAATCTTTGTCTTTTATTGGAGAGCTTAATCCATTTACATTTTAAAGTAATTACTGATAAGGAGGCATTTTGTCATTTTGCTATTTGTTTGCTATATGCCTTATAGCTTTTTTTGGTCCCTCATTTCCCTGCATTACTGTCTTCTCTTGTGTTTAGTTGATTTTTTATAGTCAAATGTTTAAATTCCTTCTCATTTCTCTTTGTGTATATTCTGTAGCTGTTTTCTTTGTGGTTGCCATGGGGATTACATTCAGCATCCTAAAGTGATCACACTCTGATTTGAATTTATAGCAGCTTACTTCCAATAACATATAAAACTGCTCCTTTACAGCTCTGTCCCCAGCCCATTCAGTTGTTGATGTCACAGAATTCCATCTTTATACTTGTATGTCCCAGACCATAACGAATAATTCTTTTAAATGCTTTAATCTTGGGGCCAGCCCAGTGGCGTAGTGGTTAAGTGCACGCCCTCCACTTTAGCTGCCTAGGGTTCGCAGGTTTGGATCCCGGTGCACACTGACGCACTGCTTGTGAAGCCATGCTGTGGTGGCATCCCATATAAAGTAGAGGAAGATGGGCACAGATGTTAGCCCAGGGCCAGTCTTCCTCAGCAAAAAGAGGAGGATTGGCATTGAATGTTAGCTCAGGGCTAATCTTCCTCACACACACACAAAAAAGCTTTAATCTCTTAAATTATGTAGAAAACAACATGTGAGGTTACAAACTAAAGTTACAATAATACTAACTTTTAGACTAATAATTTCTTTAAAATTATATTAGTCTTTTAAGTCATGATGAAAACAAAATGTGGAGTTACACACCATTGTTACATAAAACTGGCTTTTAACATGGCCAATGTATTTACCTTATTGAGGTCTTTATTTCTCCGTGTGGCTTTGAAGTACAGCCTAGTGTCCTTTTGTTTCCTGCTGCAGGTGAAGGTGCACCTCTCTTGACCATTTCCTGCAGGGCAGGTCTGGTGGTAACAAACTCCCTCAACTTTTGTTTATCTGGGAATGTCTTAATTTCTTCCTCTTTTTTTTTTTCTCTTTTTGTTGAGGAAGATTGGCCCTGAGCTAACATCTGTGCTAACCTTCCTCTATTTTTTTGTAAATAGGACACCACCACAGCATGGCTTGATGAGCGAGCAGTGTGTAGGTCCGCTCCCGGCATCCGAACCTGTGAACCCCAGGCCAGCGAAGCGGAGCACGCGAACTTAAACACTACACCACCAGACCAGCCCCTCTTCCTCACTTTTTTTTATTTTTTTAATAAAGACATCTTTATTTTTAATTTTCCGCGCCGCCCCCCCCCCCCGAAAGCCCCAGCAGATAGTTGTATGTCATAGTTGCACATCCTTCTAGTTGCTGTATATGGGACGCGGCCTCAGCATGGCCGGAGAAGTGGTGCGTCGGTGCACGCCCGGGATCCAAACTTGGGCCTCCAGTAGCGGAGTGCGTGCACTTAACCACTAAGCCACGGGGCCGGTCCTCTTCCTCACTTTGAGGGACAGTTTTATCAGATATAGGATTCTTAGTCGAAAGTTTTTTTTTTCTTTTAGCACTTTGAATATCTTGACATACTGTCCTTTGGTCTCCAAAGTTTTTGATGAGGAATCTGTTGATAATCGTATTGAGGATTCCTTGTATGTGACAAGTCACTTCTCTCTTGCTGCTTTCAAGATTTGCTTTGTCTTTGGCTTTTGTAAGTTTGATTATAACGTGCCTGAGTTCATCTTACTTGAAGTTGGTTGAGTTTCTTGGATGTTTATATTCAAATTTTCCATCAGATCTGGGAAGTTTTCAGTCATCATGTTCTCAGATATTCTCTCTTTTCTCCTTCTGGGACTCCCATGGTGCATGCTTGACGGTGTCCCGCAAGTCCGTTCGGCTCTATTCGCTTTTCTCAATTTTTTTTCTTTCTGTTCCTCAGATTCTGTAATTTCCATTGTTCTATCTTCAAGTTCACCAATTCTTTCTTCTGCCTCCTTAAATCTGCCTTTGAATTCCTCTAAGGAATTTTTTATTTCAGTTATTGTATTTTTCGTATTCAGAATTTCTTTTTCATTTGTTTTTAGATTTTCTCTCTCTTTATTGATGTTTCTATTTTGTTCATACATCATTTTCATTTTCTTGATTTTCTCCACATCTTCCTTTAGTTCTTTGAGCATCTTTAAGATAGTTGTTTTAAAGTCCTTTTCTAGTAGATCTGCCATCAGGTTTTTTTCAGGGACAGTTTCTGTTGGTTTATTTTTTTCCTTTGAATGGGACATACTTTCCTGTTTCTTTGTGTGCTTTGTGATCTTTGTTGTTGTTGAACACTGAACATTTGAATCTAATAGTGTGGTGAATCTGGAAATCAGAATCTCCCTCTTCCTCAGGGTTTGCCATGTTTCTTATTGTGTGTGTTTTTCTGATTGTTGAAGGGTGTCTCTATGCTAAGGATCAGCCTGAGGTGTAAAATTAAGGTTTTCTCAGGGCTTTTCTCAGCCTATGCCCTTCCCTGGGCACACACAGTCACTTTCTAATTTTCTCTCTGCATGCAGTTGTTTTTGAATGTCCTAGTTTTTAATTTCTCCCCAGAAGGAAAAAAGAGAAAAAGGCAGTGGTGGAAAAAAAGGGCACCAGCCCTTTAAATCTGGAAGTCACTTCAGCCAGAGCAGGAGGGGTCTGCAACCTCAGCCTCAGGCCTCTCATCTGCACCTCTGTGATGGGAAGCCACAGTCGGAGCACAGAGCCCCAGTATCTGGAGGACAGGGTCCTTTTGCCCACCCTAGGTCCTGCAAGCTGTGTGCAGGCTGCTCCAGGAACACGTGCACAGCTGCCTGTCTGGGTGGGGGTGGAGGGTGGGTAGCTACTCCTCTGCTAAGAGCTGAAATTGACTCCAGTTGACCCTCCAAGTTTTCCCCTGGAAGTTGCAAGCCTTTAACAGACTCCAGAGTTCCAAAATAGTTACATCAGACGGATTCTGCCAGTGTGATTGTCCAGGTGGGGAGACGGATTCCAGTGCATCCTGCTCTGCCGCCATCCCTGAATCCTCTCCACCAATTGCCTTTTAGGCAAAGATCATTGAGCCTGGATTCTCTCTTTCATGGAATTAAAAAAAAATTGAAATCTTAAGAGTCTAGAGGGACCAAAGGGCTTGTCATAGAATATCATCTTTAATTGCTTAGACAGTCTCTGAAATTGGCTCAAAAATACTAGACAGACGAATGTGACACCATGTAGTTCAATTATTTTACTGTAAGCGTGTTCTTTTTACCTACAGGATAAGAAAAAACTACTGGAAGGATGTCAGCTGCAGCGAGTTGATCTCATAACTCAGGTGAAGCAACTTCAAGAAAAATTGAACCGTCTGGTACATTCTATGCACTTCCCAAACATCGAGGCAGAGGACTTTAAATCTCAACAGCCATTGGCATTTTCACATGTTCTTGAAAATAGTTCAAGTGATAGTTCCAAAAACAGTGAAGAAACTGACAAATCGCCTCCTATTGATGCATTGAATATTGATAAAACCACATGGGATCTAATTGACGTTATTGGAAATCAAGATTCCTTGCTAAGAAATGAATTGCCAGATGTTCCCTTGGAAGATAAGGGTGATTTGCAGGATGGGTCACTTTCTTTACAAGCGAGCTTGCACAGTAGCTCACGTGACCTAACCCACACCGAGGGGGCGGAGCCCTTGAAGAACGTGCTCAGTGCGATGGACCTGTCCTCCTGGAGCTCCCCTGAGGTCATCAGGAAGGACTCGACCCTCGAGCCCCCACCTAGCCTTCCCCTGACGCCCTGCTCCGATGCCCTGAGCCGGCTCAGCCTGGATGCCTCCCTGCGGGACAGGACAAGCGCCTCACTGCTCCAGGCTGACCAGTCAGGGCTGCTTTGTTACCCGGGCAGGTCAGCAGCAGGAAAGGCTCCTAGGTGGGCAGAGTCTCCATTGACTACGGACAGGGCTCCCTCCCCTGACCACCAAGTGCAGCGGATGGCTGTGGTAAGTTGTCTCCCATGGGTGCTATGCTGGTTTGGTGTCCGTGGGATGCCCAAGGCCCCAGTGTGTCCCCGTGGAAATGTGTCTCTGTGGCCTGGGGTATCACAGCTGTCGCCATTGTTAGTTCATCTCCTGACAGGGCCTGTGGGCCGGACGTGGGTGAGCACTGACAGTGCCCTGGTCAGCTGTGTGTGGGATGGTCAGCTTTCTGCAGGACTAACCCGAGTCCGTTGTAATGTGCATATCTAGAGTACTTTCGTTATTTTTAAAAATATGTGAGATGCATGAGTCCTACTCAGCAATTCACCCCAGACCTCAGTTTCTTCACTAATGCTGACATTGAGAAGTACAGTCATAAGCCCGTCTTCATGTGTAGTTTGCATTTGGGTTCTTTATCTGGAATACGTTTTTTAGATTTATTTTCACTTGTATTTCACATTTAACAGGTTCCACACATAATGCTCATTAATTTCAAGAGCACTTCAATTTATTATTTTTGAGTTATATTTTATAATTTTGAGAGTTTGTTTATATTGGGTTAAAGTAAAAAGTAAATTAGAGATATGTGTGATTTGAGGTATCATATACCACCATTTCATGCAGAATTTTTTTAATCTAAAATACTTGCTAGTGACTTCTTTAAAATATTCCTGGAGAACTGTGGATGAATTTGATTAACTTATTAGAAGCATATGACCTCGGTGTGTCCACAGGCTGTGAGTACTTTTGTTTGGGTTTGGGAAGACGGTAGTTCAGGCCTTGGAAAGTTTCTGGTTGGCCAGTTCAACTCCATGGTGTAATAAGTTGTTATTTTATGACCATTTAACAATCTACTTATTTGAGCAGGAGAAAGATGTTGAAGACTTTATCATAACGTCTCTTGATGCTCAAGAAAAGTCCAGATCATCTCCTCTTGGATTAGAAGGAAGAAGCGATGGAAGTGAGAACAGTGAGTCAGTCATCTTTGTTTAAACTTCTTCTTACTTTTACAGTTTCAGATAGAGAATAGCACGAGAATTCCTGCCTACCCTCACACAGACTCCCCCTGTGGTAACATTCACCACGCTTGCTTGCGTGTGCTCTCGCTGTCTGTGTCTGTCTTTGTTTCTCCCTGTCTCTCTCTCTGTCTCTCTCTGGGTTTGCACCCTGAGTGTTACTTGCAGACCTGGTGTCATCTTACTCCTGGAAATGTCATTGTGTCTTTCATGAAGTCCAGTTCACGACACTGTGCCCGACACCAGGACGTGCACACTGACCCGAGGCAGCGTCTGGTCTACAGATGTTACTTAGATTTTGCTAGTTGTTCCATTAGCGCCCTTTATAGAAAAGGACACTCAGCTGGTATGATGCATTCAGCTGTCTTTGCAGGGCAGAGGCTGGTGAGAGGCAGGCCAGGCACCTGGGCACAACATTTTGGGCCGGGACACCGTGCCATGTGGACCCCGCGAGGGGTGCCTCTTTACGTTTCAAGCAGTTCCAAGACATCCTTTCTTTGGGTGTCTGTAGCAGGGTTGTCAGCATGTGTGTATCTCACGTGTCCTTGTGAGTGCACGTGGCAGTGCCATGTTCTTCCTAGAGCATCACAGTGTGAGGCGTGTGGTGTCAGCTGGGACTCGGGGCAGTGGTGTCTGCAAGGTTTTAGTCTCATTTTTTTCCTTTTTAATGGCTCTGTGTCCTGGGGGAGGTACTTGGAGACCATGTAAATGTTCTCCTGTTTCTCAAGCCCGGACCCACTAGCTTTAGCCTCTGTGGAAGGTTCTTGCCTGTGTCGTCATCATGATGTCAAACTGGTTTCTAACTTCCTAATTTCTTCTGTAATTGTTGACTTTTTACAAGTTAGTCACCTCTGGAGGTGTTTTGACTTTTTTGAAAAAAATCATCATTGGCTCATTCAGTGCTTTTGAGAACAAGGCCGTAGTAAACCATAGTTCATTGGCAGTTTCGGCATTTGCAGAATAGGGCCAGCAACTTTTTAATTTTAGTTTTTATCTACTCCGGGTAGTAAGCGTGTGGGTTAAGAATTTGAGTGGTTCTGCAGGGTGCATTCTGGGGGCAGCCTTTTGTCTGGTCTCTTCCCTCTGAATTGCCATTCCCTGAGGACATCCACATCTAACTTTTAGAAATTTCTTCTAGTATTTATTTTCAAATCACATTTGTCAGTTGAAATAACATGTTTAAACTTCCTAGAGGCAAACTCTGCACGTCCCTTCCCCGTCTTTACTTTCTGTCCTATCATCGCTGAGCATTTGTATTCTGTCTGAATTCTTGAGGAGCTGCTGGGGGTGCACAACCTCTCTCACACAACTTTCCTTTTCCTTTCTCTTGGCCTCCTCCCTGGTCTCTTTCACTGGCCCTCCGCCGCTGTGCAAGCATGGGGGTGCACCATCCTTGCTTTCCAGGTGGGACCCCTCTCCCTCTCTGATGGCCCTTATTTTTATGAAGCATGTTCTCTAGAAGCTTCTGTAGGAAAAACATGCATAAGGTGCTTTTTTGTGTGTGTGTGTGTGTGGAGGATTAGCCCTGAGCTAACATCTGTTGCAAATCCTCCTCCTTTTGCTGAGGAAGACTGGCCTTGGGCTAACATCCGTGCCCAGCATCCTCTACTTTATATGGGACGCTGCTACTGCATGGCTTGACAAGCGGTGTGTTGTCAAGCCCTGCAAATCCTGGGCCGCCGAAGAAGAGCGCGCGCACTTAACCACTGCGCTACCGGGCTAGCCCCATGAAGTGTTTTTTTTTGAGAACTTTTGGGTCTTCCTGATGTTTGTTGGTAGTTTTGGCTTGATGCAGACTCCTGGATGAGAAGTCGTGTTCCCTCAGAGCACTGAGCGCCTGCCCGCTGTCCTGACCCTGGTGTCTCGAGAGCCCATGGCGCCACCATGGACACAGCCCTGCTGGGCACCTGGAGTGTCCTTCTGCCTGGAGAGATTCCTCGTTACTCCTGTGGTCATTCTCCTGTGGTTTTGACTTGTCTTTCTGCAATTCTTGTCAGTCACATGTTGGACCTCCTGGACTAATTTTCTCATTTTCCACTTCTTTGTATTTTTGTTCTCATTTCTAAGAGATTTTTTACAATTTTACTTCTTAAGCTTTGTGTCGAATGTTTTTGTTTCTGCTCTGTTTTAATTTCTAGGAGCTCTTGGTCTTTTCTGCCTGCTTCTTTCTCTTACATCTCCCCTTCCTTGGTTTGTGGATGATGCTCTTGTGCTTATTTCTTGGAAGATCTTATAGTTTTTCTCAAGTTTCTTCTGTTTGCTGCCTTTACTCCATTTCTGCTAGCTGTCTCTCTTGTGTGTGAACACTCCTCGGCACGTTTGAGAACTTAGACCACTTTGCAGGGCAGTCACAAACAGCTCGCTGGATGTTCTGTGCCTAGAGGGGCCTTGCCGACGGTCCCCCAAGTCCTCCTTCCCTTTCCTGAGCTGGTGTGGGTGGGGAGAAGCAGCTGGAAGGTCTGATCCTGCGTTTCCTGGGGCACATCCCTCTGTTTCCAGAGCATGTGCTCACAGGCCTTCCTGGACTGGCTGTGGGCTGCAGGGCTTAGGAACGGATCAGGGACCTAGGCACCGCTGAGAGGTTTGAATTCTGGTTTGAGGCCCCCTCCTGTCAGACAGAGGTTCCTGGAGTCTCATGCTCTCGCCTCATTCAGGGTCCGCAGCCCAGGCCTCAGGGCTTTTCTGCTCCCACTCCCAAATCAGGCACGTTCCCTTTCCCTGACCAGCCGTTTACCGCTGGTCCAGCTGCTCCCAGCCTGTCCTCGTGGTCGGCATCTTCCACGGCCCGTCCCCTCTGCCTGCTCCTCTATCCTTGTGGGTCAGGCCGTCTTCGTCGCTTCCCTGGGTGTGGAGAGTGCAGGCCCTGTGCACGTGCATCGGCTGCGGCACTCGCTCTGCAGTCCCGTCTTTGGGAGGATGCACGTCCGTGTCTGTGTAAGAGGGAACTGAGGTTTGTGGGTTTATGTTCCAGTCACGGACGTTAACATATTAAACATGCAGAGTATTCGTTTTCTTACTTAATGTGTGTAGTTCTCATCTTACATTTTCATAAAAATATTTTTGCCATCTTTGGTGGTTCACTGATGTTTTCTTCTGTGAGAGGAGCCACAGCCGTAGCTCTTCTGGGTATTTCGGGGCCCGACCTTGCCTGGCACAGGGAAGCAGGGGGTCTGACCGCCCCCCGCCCTGCACTTTGCAGAGCGTCCCCTGAGGAATGCCACCAGGGAATTGCAGTTTTGGGCTCTGACTTTGTGCTGTGTTTTTAGGTGATGGCTCAGGGTTTGGCGAGATACTAAACCAAGGTTTGGGAAGACTCAAAACTCCCACTACTAGTCCTGCAGCTCCTCCTCTCACCTCTAGAAGGTTCCGACGGCCCCTGGAAGCCATGAAGGAAGTCCACCCAAAGCAAGTGAAGGTAACGGCCAGTGAGAGCAGGGTGTGCTGTGTCGATGGGCTTCCGTCTTTGGCCTGCTCTATGACCGCGCCCTGGGTGGGGTTGTGTTGCACGATAATCACGCTCTGCTCACACAGCTCCATACGCTTCAGCTCTGTGCTAACTCTGTGCCTCGGGTGTTTCTGGAAGGAGGTAAGCTGATCTTGGAGCGTAGGGACAGGTGTCCAGGTGAGAACCTGGCACAGCAGGCCTGTGAGGGGCCGCGGGAGCCTGGGGCGCTGTGGCCCCGGCGAGGGTGACCAGCTCTTGTTGTGGCACTGTCAGGGCACAGTGCACAGTGGTCTGCAGGTACAGGTGTTGTAAAGAATCACGAGAGACAAAACTAGGATTAGCCTTCCCGAATTGAGTTTAGGTGTCAGAACTCATGACCCCCTTGTGGGACGTGATTGTGGTTTTATGTTTGTTCTGGAGATTGATCTCTGGCTTTTCCTGAGACAACTCAGGGGTGTGCTCAGGACCGGGACTGCCCTGCCAGGCACCCATGTGCGAGCAAGCGACAACCTCGAATGTCGAGTTGCCACCTACAGAGCGCGGAGAGCATTGCGTGTCAAGGTGGCAGGGTCACCACTCTGCAGGCGCCTGCCTGTGGGGCCACATTGGAGACCCACGCCCAGCTTTGCTGTTGGAGCATGCTGCTCGAGAAGGTGCGTTTTCATCCTTTCCAGAGTCTGTTTAGCAGATTGCTCTGGTTTCTTGCTCTTTACGTTTCCTCAAGTTGGCCCTTGAGGAGGAAGATGGTCTTTCTTTGCTTGTACAGCAGCGTGGGTGTTTTTGATGGGTAGTCTCAGCCCTGACCCGGCCAGGTCAAACAGGACACAATGTTTATTATTGCACATCACCGAAAGTTTCTGGGTGGAGTGGCTCCAGGTGCACACCCGGAGACGGCAGCAGCGTACTCATGCTCGCTCACTCCCTCCCTCCCTTCTGCCATCAGCCAGCTGTCCTCAGGGTGGCAGGAAGGCTATGGCATCTCTCGGTGTCTGACGGGGACGGGGCCCGATGCTTCCTCTGAGCCTCTTTTCCAGAAGCACCTCCTCTGGCCCCCCCCAAGAGGACATTCCCTCCCTTCATTGGCAGACGCGGTCACCTGCCCGCCAGACCACTCGTCCCCAGCCCTTGTGATGGGCTGGGCTCATCCTGACCCACCGCTGATGGGACGCCGATGGCCTACGTTCGGGAGGCTCATGCTGCTCTCCTGGGTCGTTGTTTGGCCTCTCACGGCTGCACTCCAGGGAAGAGCTGAGGTTCTGGGATTGGGGGCTGGCTTCTCTTCAGACGAGGAAGGAGGAAGCCACACTCAGCATCCTGAGATTTAACTTGGAAGGCAGAATTAAAAAAAAATTTTCCCAGCTTTAACTGACTTATGACATTGCCTAAGTTTAAAGTGCGTGTCGTGATTACTGATACACGTATATATTGCAAGATGCTCACCACAATACGGTTGGTTAACACCTCCATCCCCCGGAAGGCAGAGTTTTCTGTGGAACTTTGTATAGGTTTTCTTTTCTCTTCCCACTTCAGCAAATCATTTTATGGCAAAACCATTGACGTAAACTTGGCCGAATAAGTAAATGGTATAATGCCACTATCGTGTCTTATTCAAATAGTAAAAGTATTCCCAAATAATTTTGATAAGTAAAACTTTCTCTGAAATTGTGTTCAGAATAAAACTTTATCTTACTCCTTTAAGAATTGAAATTGAAGTAATTTTTTTGTAACTTAATTTCTTTTTGTATTTCTCAATTTTTTACATGACATAAAACATCAAAGCCATGTTTCAGTTAGCATTTCCAATCTAAGCAACCTAATATCAGAATTCCTAATTTTAAGAAATAAATTTGGTTGTTAATGATGATAATTTATACTTAGGTTTTGATGTTTAATGCTGAGTGATTAAAAAAGAAAAAAAAAGGGGGCCGGCCCGGTGGCGCAAGCGGTTAAGTGCGTGCACTCCGCTGTGGCAGCCCAGGGTTCGCTGGTTCGGATCCTGGGCGCACACCGATACACCGCTTGTCACACCATGCTGTGGCGGCGTCCCATATAAAGTGGAGGAAGATGGGCACGGATGTTAGCTCAGGGCTGGTCCTCCTCACAGAAAGAAAAAAAAGAACCCAGTAAGGGTCCTGAGCCCTCTGAGGAAGCGGCTGAGCGAGCTGTTGGCGATGGAGGCAGAGCTGATGTGGACGTGGGCCTCACTGCGTGGTGGAAGAGTGAGTCAGGGAGCTGTTCCCTGGAGCGCAGTTTGTTCACCTCAGTCAGAACCTGCACTTCAGTATTCCCTACGTCCAGTTCAAAGTAGCAAAAAGGTATTTTCGAATAGGTTTCTCAGACTGTTTGAAACTTATTTTCCTTGATTGTTTTAAATTCCTACACTGTTTCTGGACCGTGGAGCCACAGCGCGCACTGCGAGAGAGGGCAGCCTGAAGAGGACTCCTGCACTCCGTTGGAGAGCTTGCCCCATGAGGTGCCCTTCTCAGTGGAGCACAGGAACGACATGCTTCTCAACGTGTCAGCCACGACACAGAGCGTGCCGGCAGGGGCTGTGTCTCAGGAGCATTGTGCAGCCACGATTCTGGTTGCCCCTGAGCTGGGAGTGCTGGTGGAAGTTTGGGTGTGTGCCAAGCGAGGTCCCTGGGCAGGGCTGTGGTCCCCGCCAGACCCAGACACCTCTGGGACCGTGTTGGAAACGAGCCAATGAGCGGGGGTGGACAAGTGACCGTGGTGCAGCCACGTGGGAAGCGTTGCGCATTGGCTGGAGCAAACGAGGGTGCCTGAAGCCCCCAGCACCTGAGTGACCAGCTGGTGTGGGGGCCACGTGCTGAGGGATGGGCGAGGTTGCACGTGGGGACGGTGGCCACGAAGTGCAGGGTCCTCAGCAGAATGTGGCAGTCCTGAGAGCAGGACTCCAGAGCCTTCTCAGCCCCGGTGATGGTGTCCATGGCACCAGAGGTCGGAACCCCCTGCAGGTCTCCACGCCCCGAGCAGCGTCAGACCAGGGGTCCTGCTCCATGTTGATTCTCACGGCAACCGTAGAAAGCCCAGCTCTGCAGAGATTGGACGTCACTGAACGGATGCTGTGGCCTCAGGCAGCTGTGGTCGCGGCTGGCACAGGCACAGAACCTCACTCTTCACATGTGTTGTTTTTGAGAGATGGTTCCCCACCCCCCCGAGGAGGATTGGCCCTGAGCCAACATCTGTGCCAGTCTTTCTCTGTTTTGTGTGTGGGTCACCACCACAGCATGGCTGATGAGTGGTGTAGGTCCAGGCCCTGGATCCGAACCCGTGAACCTGGGCCGCCGAAGTGGAGCGCACTGAACTTAACCACTGTGCCACAACTATGGCTGGCCCCATTGAGAGATGTTTTTTAAAATGCATTTCTCCTCATTATAAGATCCGGGAAAGTATTTAAAGACCGTAACGTGGCTGTTCATTGCAGCCAGGGCGTTTCTGCTGCCACTTGCTCTTCTCGTCTGCCCTCTCTGGACAGACAGAAGACGGACAGCAGGTGCGGGGGGGCGATGGGGCCTGTGGTCTCAGGCGCCCTGCTCCTGTCTGCCTCGCCTGGTCACCGTTCCTCCAGACCTGCAGGGGCTGCGATTTGCATCCATTTTATTTCAAATAAGTTGTTTTTAAAGTGAAATTGTTTTAGATTGTTAGAGATAATTAAACATATATAGTTGGGTTTCTAGTACTTTTATCTTAATATTTCGCTTACATTGGTCACATCATTAGAATTATAGCAAAACCTATTTCTAGTTAACTGATTAGACTCCGTCATAGGTCTCCTCATTGCTATTTTTACATTTCCCTGTTTGGGCCGTTTATTAGTTTCTTTTTTCCCAGAGTTTTAAGCTTAACATGCCCCTTGCGTGAGTCTTTCCACGTGGAGTGAGGATCATTGGGGTTCCTTGGGATTCTGTGTTGGTCCTAACACCAGCTTCCCCCTGAGGACGCTTGGGGGAAACTGCCATCTTCCTCACTCGGCCTCCTTGGGCAGGACACAGATGGCCGGCGTGCACGTCCTGTTTCCGTCGCTCTGTAACTAGCACTCCGAGTCTCAGTGGTGCGAAGGACGCCAGGGGCAGGGACTCCCACAGGGTGCCTTGGCCACCATTTCTCTGCTGCCTGTGTCTGGGCCCCACTGGGACCACTGGAGGGCTGGAGTGGTCAGTAGCCGGCCTGGTGCTGCCTGAGGGCGCCATCTCCCCAAGGCCTCACCTGTCGGCCGGGACATGTGCACAGGCCTCCCGTGCGGCTCCTTGGGGCTTCCTCATAGCACGGCAGCTGCGGGCCCAGGAGAGCCAGGGTAGTGCACGGCGTCTTCGTGACCTGGCCGCTGAAGGAGGCCCGAGGACCTGCCCTGAGCTTCGCCCAGGCTGAGGGGAGGGAGTGTCCACCGTGAGGGAGTGAGTGGGGGCCATCCTTGGAGTAGCTTACGCAGAAGTTCACTCCTTCAAAACTGGTTTCCTGGTGGTCTGATGGTTATGAGGGAGGAACGTCTGAAAACCTCACGTCACAGCAGCACTCTCTGCTCTTTGATGCAAAGGCGGTGCGGGTGCCATGCGGGCGGCCCCGGAGAGCCTTGATGGGTGCAGCGGGTCAGTGAGTGGTGAGTGGGTCAAGCTGCTGCTGCTGCTTTCTGAAATGCTGTCCCCTTGCAGGCCTTGCTGCAGAGGGTGTGTGATGAGAGCTACCACATACTGGCCTTGTCTGAGTACCGCGGACCCCCCAGCACCCCCCTCGAGCACTTCCCAGGGGAAGGCCAGGGCCAGTTGGAGGCAGTGCCAGCTCTGAGGGGGCATCCGACGCCAGCACCCCAAAAGCGAGAAAAGGTACAGAGGCATTCTGTGTGAAAGAAAAGGAGGAGTGGGCATGGACCAATGTGAGGGAATTGCTCGGCCAAATAAGTGAGAATAAGGGAACAAGAGGTGGGTCAGCGGTGGGCGGGGAGGCTGTGCTTCTCTCAGCCACCCTCTCTTGCATTCGCTGGGCACCATCCATATGCCGGCATATTCCAGGCCCTGTCAGGGCAGGAGGGGCACGGCGGAGCTCTGCTGGGTGGCACACGAGGGGGAGGTGGATGTGGGGGCTGAGCCTGAGCCCACAGGGTCTCGGCCTCTACTCTGTGGCTAAGGAGCCAGGGCAGCCAAGAGAGAGGCAGTGCGGAGGCGAGGGCCACATGCTAAACTGTGTGTCTGGGAACCAGCTGGCCACAGGGCGTGGAGGAAGCAGTGGGCAAGACCCTGAGGCTGGCCTGGGAACTGTAAGGGAAGGAGTTGGGTGGGTCAGAGTGGGTGGCCAGAGAGCAGCCAGCACCGTGCAGGCACACACCCCGGCACCACTTACAGCCTCGGGCCTTCCCTAGACCCGGGGCCTCGTGCAGCAGTGAGTGCCGACATTGCTCGATCTTAATTTTATTTATTTTTTATTTTTTTATCCCCCCCCCCGCCAAAGCCCCAGTAGATAGTTGTATGTCATAGCTGTACGTGGGACGCGGCCTCAGCATGGCCGGAGAAGCGGTGCTTCAGTGTGTGCCCGGGATCCGAACCCGGGCCGCCAGCAGCGGAGCGCGCGCACTTAACCGCTATGCCACGGGGCCGGCCCTGCTCGATCTTATTTTACCGTCTCCTTCAGTCGTTTCTTCTCCGCCTGTGATGGCAGCATTGGCTCTACTTGCCCCTGGACGGTCATGGGTGTGTCTCCTCTCTGTCAGGTGATTGCTGTTTAACCTGCAGAATGCATTTGTAAGAACACCGAGCTCCTTGTTCCAATATTTTAGGAACCTCCCGACGTGTGCCTCGACTGGAGAGGAGAATTTCTGCAGGTTGTCCAGGAGGCCTTTGAAAAAGAACGGAAGATGCTGAAGGTTGAACTGCAGCCCCAACCCTGTGGCTCTGACCCCAGCGACTACAGCTCCCTATTGGAGAGGCTGGAGAGGGTGGTCCAAGAGCAGGTGAGTTGCCTCCATTCACCTTCTGGAGCCCACCCTGGTGGAGAGGGTGACGGAACGTGGTTCTTACATGAATTTTGGGTCCCACGTTTCACTCCACCTCGGAACGTGGCAGTGACTGAGGAGGAAATGCTGCTTCAGCCCAAGTATAGCACTGCATTTTTATGCGCGAATTCCACGAAGTGGAAAATTCTATGCGTTTATCTTCCTTTACAATCTCACTCTGTTGTGGAAGTAACTAGCCTTTCTTTGAAAGCAAAAGAGCAATTCTAAGCAGCCCTGCTGAGGTTCTGAGCACTGAGCCCAGGGTCAGAGGGTCCGAGGGTGTCAGCACTGTGCAGGCCCTGGGAGTCTTGTTTCCACCAGTTCCCTCATAAGTCCAGACACAGGGTCCACAGCAGGTCAGAGTGGCCCCTGGGCATAGGCCAGGCCCAGAAAGCAAGACGGAGGTGCCTGGGAGCAGAGGTGTGTGGGATCTGAGGGTCCCCAGGAGCAGCTGTGCTCGTGTCCCATGCCACATGTTTGTCACAGCTTTCCTGCGAGTACGTTCTTAGCCCCAGTCGGGGACTAGACTCAGATTCACCAAGTTTGTACCAGTGAAGCTGGAAGCGTGGGCTGCTTGTGCCTGGAGCCACCAGCACCCTGGCCAGGCCTGGCCTCCCCCAGCCCTTGGGGCATGCTGTCTTCTCATCCCGTTTTCCCATTTGGGTGGGCAGCCGCTCACCAGCAGAGCCCTCCGAGCACCCTGTCTGTGAAGTCCTGTCTGACTCCCCTCTTCCTCCTTCACCCGCCCTGCCTCCAGGAAGACCTGCAGGAGAAGTCCCTGGAGCACCTTCGCCTGTCCGACAGGAGCAGCTTGCTGTCGGAGATCCAGGCTCTGCGCGCCCAGCTGCGCATGACGCACCTGCAGAACCAGGAGAAGCTGCAGCAGCTGTGCGCGGCACTAACCAGCGCGGAGGCCCGCGGGAGCCGCCAGGAGCACCAGCTGCGCAGACAGGGTGGGTGCTGCCCTTCCTGCCCAGCCCCGAGAAACCTGCCCTCCTGCCCTCCACCTTTTCGGTAAGGCGGCACACAGGTTCCTGGAGCCCCCTGGGCCGCCCAGTGCTGGGTCTGGTGGCAGGAGTGGTGTCCTGGTTTCTCCAGCTCCCCAAGTGCAAGGACCACTGGCCTCGGCATCAGAACACCGTGGCCAGGTTCATAGAACTCGAGGTAAAAACGAGTCTGAGAGACCAGTCAGGGCGGAGGCCTGGCCAAGGGCCCCGGTAGGTGTGCTGGGCGCCAGCAGGACCACGTCTGGGAGAGTCTGGAGCTCACACCAGGCTTCAGCAGCCTGTGGTAGGTTTCTACACTTAAGTTAGATTTTGGAGATTTTCTGTAGACACTCATGTCATCTGTGCATAAGAAATGTATGCTTTCCTTTCCCATCTGCCTCCTCTTCTTGCTGATCGCACTGGTTCGGCCCTTGAGCATGAGGGTGACTGGAGCCCGCGGCAGATGTCCAGCCTGCTCCGGCCGTGGGGGACGCACTCCATCTCTTCCGCTTCAGTGTGGCATCTTCACAGATGCCCCCTGTCGCTCTAGCAAGTCCTCTCTTCCCAGTCTGGGTGCTGAAGCATGGGCCGATTGTGTCCAGTGAGCAACCTTGTGTTTGGGCAGGACCTCCGTGGTGCGTTGCCCTGTGCATGTCTGGACCAGACGTTTTGTGTCTGTGTTCATGAGGGATACTGGTCTGCAGTTTTCTGCTGGTTTTGGTTTGGAGTAATGCCAGCCTCATGGAGGATTGGCACGTGTCTCCTCCCCTTCTGCTTTCCAGAGGAGCTTGTATAAAACCGGGGTTATTTCTTCCGTGAGTGTGGGAGAATTCTCCAGTGAGGCCGTCTGGGCTGGAGCGGTCTCTGTCGGGTGGTGTTGAGTGTAGGAGCAGCGGGTGGGCTGACCTTTTAGGATGACTCCGGGGATGGTCACTCCTGGTGTCTGTGCACCAGGCAGGGAGGGCTCTGAGCGGCCTTGCACACACAGGTCCATCTCGGCCCAGCTTTGAACTCTGCCTCCAGGGAGACCACAAGCTGAGCAGCTACCCCTGGGGAGCTGTGTTGCGGCCTGCAGCCTGTGTGGCCCTTGTGGGTCGTGCAGGCTCTCTGCCCGTGTGTCTCTGGGTGCTCCCCAGCCAAGACGGCAAGGCCTGGTATGGTGCACGATGGAGAAGCTGGCGCTGAGCCAGTGAAGGAACGTGTCCCCGAGTGTCCTGGCTCCGTCAGAAACGGCGGCTTCTAGGTCCTAGGAACTTCATTTCCCCCAAAATGAATACATCCCCACTCCCTTATTAGTTTGCTTTTAGTTTGTTGAATCACCCGTGCACTCACTTTGGGCTCACGAATAATGCTGGTTTATGTTCCTTAATCTCTTTCTTAGTTGAGTTACTGGCGTATAAGGTGGAGCAGGAGAAATGTATAGCAAGCGACCTACAGAAAACCCTGAACGAAGAGCAGGACAAAGCAAACGCTGTTCGGAAGCTCCTGGTGGTGGAACAGAATGCCGTCAGAGATTTGAAATCTGAGCTATGTGAGTGTAAGCAGGACAACGAGCGGCTATTAGCATCCCTCAATGATGTGCAGAAGGAGGTCCTGCAGCTGAGGTAGGGGACACAGCCTGTCACCAGTGTTCGTCCCCTTCCCCCCGCGCGCTGTCACCAACTTTCTGTTGAATAATAAGTGGAAGTTACCTAGTTCTTGCCGTGTTTTTCTTGGCGTTGTGGTAAAAGGGAACCTCTGGTGTGCCAGGTGTCCTAATGGGCATTAGAGCAGACACCTGCTTTCGTGGGTCTGTAGCATGGGAAGGAGGGATTGAACACTTGTGCAGGTCACGAGGAGGCGACAGGGCTCTGCCCTCTGCATCCTGGGAGTGCCCGGCCCCCGGTGCTGGCCTCCCTTTCAGAGCGTTCTGTGACATGGGCATGACGGCCTGTCTGCCCATGCAGGTCCGTGCTGGACAGTAAGGAGAATGACCTGAAGGCCGCACTCCAGGAGCTGGAGAGCGAGCGCGTGAAGGAGCGCGCCCTGCAGAGCCAGCTGGAGGAGGAGCAGCTGCAGCACCTGCAGAGGGAGGGCCAGAGCTCCAAGACCCTGGAGGTAACTGGGCAGCAGTGCTGGGGCTCCGGGTCACACATACCGGCCAGTGGCGACTGGAACCAGGAAGCAGTTCTCCTCTTCAGTGCCCCTTATTCTTGTCTGTGACAGTGTGCCAGGTGACAGAGTTTGAGGCAGTGAGGAAGGCTGTGAAGCAGGTAAAATAGCATCTTTGTAGTGACAGACAGCGTGATGGCCGCCCGCAGTCCTCACTGTCTCTGAGCATTTGATTCTGTAAGGTGGACACAGCCTCCTGGCCAGCCCTCCTGCACAAAGGGCAGCCTCACATTTACCCTGTGTCTCACGGGATAAATGACCCGTGTGACCTGGCTTCAGTCTAGGTGGAGGCTGTGCTGTGACTGTGTGTCCAGCAGAGGGTTTTGTAGTCCTGAACAAACTGACCGTCAGTTCCATGGTGAGGGTGAAGCTGTCTTCAACAGCAGAGACCGTGGTTCAGCACAGGATGTGTATGTCATCAAGTGTCCTAGGTGTTGTGGTTCTGAGGAAGGAGAATGAACCCAGGATGTGTGTGTGCATTTACTCAGTGCTGCTTTCAAAAAAGTATTTCATCCATGAGTAAAAAATAATTATCATACTTCTTTTACCCATAGGACAAATTTCAAAAGGTGTAATTGCTAGGAAGTTTGGGCGGGAAAACTATTTAGGTACTTTTCCTCTTGATTTTAATTTTCTCCGATATAGGAGTTAAGAATATCTTTGGAGAAGCAGTATGCTCAGAGTAATCGACTGTGTGTCGCATTAAAACACGAGCAAACAGCAAAGGACAATCTTCAGAAGGAGCTGCAGATCGAGTCCTCACGCTGTGAGGCGCTGCTGGCGCAGGAGCGGAGCCAGCTCTCTGAGCTGCAGAAGAGCCTGGAGGCTGAGAAGGGACGCTCGCTGGAGCTGTCTGAGGCCTTACACCACGAGCGCCTCCTGACGGAGCAGCTGAGCCGGAGGACGCAGGAGGCCTGTGCTCACCAGGAGACACGGGTGCACCACGCTTTGCTGCGGAAGCTGAAGGACGAGAAGTCCCGTGTGGGGGAGTTGCAGGCCACGCTGGAGAAGGTGCAGCAGCAAGCTGTGCGCTCTCAGCGACAACTGGAGGCCGAGGTTCAGAAGCGCTGTGAGGAGCTCAAGAAAGAGAAGGAGGTAAGTGCCACGCTGAAGTCCACCGTGGAGGCCCTGCAGACCCCAAACCCAGAGCTGAGACCTTACCTGGAGAGAGAGGGGGAGCAGCCCGCATGGCTACAGACAGAGTTAGAGCAGTTACACACGGGACTGGCAGAGCAAGAAGGACATGAGGACACAAGGAGAGCGGAGACGAGGCAGAGCCGAGCAGACGTGGAGAAGTGGAAGAAGTGGCAGAGAGACAAGGAGAAACTGGTGAGAGCCGACCGGCGGCCAGATGTCAGCACTGAGCAGTCGCAGTCTTCTTAGGGTTAGAGCAGTTCCCGTGGTGACGTGAGGGCTGTGCAGGCTCCATTCTGTCCCGCTGGCCTGTATGTCTGTCTTTATGCTGGCACCACACTGATTACTGCAGCTTTGTAGCAAGTTTCAAAATCAGGAAGTGCGTGTCCTCCAACGTTGATCTTTTCCAAGATTGTTTTGGATATTTGGGGCCCCTTGCAATTCCATATGCCTTTGAGGATTGGCTTTTCCGTTTCTGCACAACAGCCGTTTGGATTTTGATAGGGATTGCACTGAATCTGTAGATTGTTTGGGGGAGTATTGTCACCTTAACAATGTTAAGTCTTCCCATCCATGAAATTGGAAGATCTCTCCATTTATTTAGAGCTGCTTTAATTTCTTTCAACAATGTTTTGTTGCTTTCAGATGATAAGCTTTGCACTTCTTTTGTTAAATCTATTCCTAAATATTATTTTTTGATGCTATTGTAAATGGAGTTCTTTTCTTTTCTTTTTTTTTTCGAGGAGGACTAGCCCTGAGCTAACATCTGATGCCAATCCTCCCCTTTTTTCTTGAGGAAGATTGGCCCTGGGCTAACATCCATGCCCGTCTTCCTCTACTTTATGTGGGACGCCGCCACAGCACGGCTTAACAAGCGGTGTGTCAGTGCGCACCCGGGATGCAAACCTGCGAACCCCGGGCCGCCGCAGCAGAGTGTGCGCACTTAACCGCTGCGCCACCAGGCCACCTCCGGGAGTTTTTTTCTTAATTTCATTTTAAGATTCTTCATTGCTAGTGTGTGGCAATACAGTTGATTTTTATATGTTGATCCTGTATCCTACAGCCTTGCTGAACTTGTTTATTAGTTTCAATATTTTTTTAATGGATTCTTTGGGATGTTCTGTATACAAGATCACGCCATCTGCAAATAGACATAGTTTTACTTCTTCCTTCCCCGCCTGGATGCCTTTTATTTCCTCTTCTTGCCTGACTGCCATGGCTGGAACTTAGAGTGCCGTGCTGAATGGAAGTGGTGAGGGGACATGCTGGCCTTGTTCCTGATTTGGGGGGAAGCTTCCTGTCTTTCACAGTTAAGCATGATGGTAGCTGTGGGATTTTTGTAGATGCCCTTTATCCGAGGAAATTCTCTTCTATTCCTGGTTGATTGAACTTGTTTTGTCTTTACTCATGAGAGAGTGTTGCAGTGTCTTTGGAGATCTGTGGTTTTCTCCTTTGTACTATACTGAGTGATTTTCATACATGGAGCCATCCTTGCATTCTTGGGATGAATCTCTGCTGGTTTTGGTGTATACATTCTTTTTTACATAGTGCTAGATTCAGTCTGCTAGTATTTTGTTAAGGATTTTGTGTCTATATTCATAAGGGATATTGGTCTGTAGTTTTCGTTTCTTGTGGCGTCTTTGGTTTTGATATTGGGATGAATTTGGCGTCACAGGATGGATTGGGAAGTGTTCCCTTTTTTGTGTTTCGGATGAGCCTTAATTTTAGATACATTTTATGTCAACCAAAAAGCCTTTGATTCTGAGAAAATTACGTCCTGTGTCTTCTCATACATTTACATTTTGCCCTTTTTAAAAATGTTTTTAAAAAACTTAAAATACCCTCACTCTTTCTGTTTTGTATTTTGTGAAATTATCAAAAGTTTTTTAAGATGCACAAGGAAAACAAATGGCCTGATCATTGTAGTGGTTAGCATGCCATGAAATCATTGTGAAATGTGTATGTGTTTCTAAGAATAAAGCTCCAGGTTTCTAAAGGTTACAAGGATAAATCAGATTTTAAAATGCTATAAAATTAGTTTTGTAAGTTTATATGAGGGATGTGATTAATATTTTTTAACAGCTGTATGGAGATACAATTCGTATACCATTGAGTTCACCAATTGATTGATTGATTGATTGATTTTGTGAGGAAGATTGGCCCTGAGCTAACATCTGCCAATCCTCCTCTTTTTGCTGAGGAAGACTGGCCCTGGGCTAACATCCATGCCCATCTTCCTCCACTTTATATGGGACGCCACCACAGCATGGTTTCAAGTGGTGCCTCAGTGTGCGCCCAGGATCCAAACCGGCGAACCCCAGGCCGCCGCAGTGGAGTGTGTGCACTTAACCACTTGCGCCACCGGGCTGGCGCTGAGTTCACCAATTTAAATTGCACAATTCCTTGATTTTTAGTATATTCAAAGAGTTGTGCAATGATCACTATAGCAATTTTAGAACATGTTCATCACCCCAAAATGGGACCCCAAAGCCCCCCATTTCCCTCTTCAGCTCCTGGCCACCACTGATCTACCTTCTGTCTCTGGATTTGCCTATTCCGGACATTTCATAAACGGAGCTATACAATGTGGGGCCTTTTGTGTCTGGCTTCTTTCATGATGTTTTCAAGGTTCATCTACTTGTAGCATGTGTCAGTAATTCATATTTTTTGCTGTGTTAAACAACCTTCAAACTAGTTGTAGTGTTCTATCACCAGAAATCTTGGAAAGTGGAGGAATAGTTTGTAGGTGTGACAGAGTGGGCAGAATGTGGCCAGGAGGGGTCCCAAGTCATTTTGTGAAGGAGATGAGCGGAGTAAAGCTCCTGGGCGGGCCTTGGTTATTCAGGACCCCCAGAATGGGTTCAAGATTGTGTGTGTGTGTTGGCCTTTTTTCCTTTGGGAAGAGGGGTCTATAGCCTTCATGTTCTTCCCAAAGGACTTCCTCATATCATATTGAAAGTTTTGTCAAACCCTTTTATTTAATTTTGATTTTTTTTTTGTAAAAATGAATGGTAACTTTGTTTCTTAAAAAACATAAATACAAAGAAAATGTTTTCTAAGTTAATAACTATTCTTCGTGATGCACCTTGATATGTATTTTTAAGTGATATAGCCCTTTTGGTGTTATTTTTACTGTAGATGGTTAATTTGTTCTGGATTCTAGAATCTTTTTCTAGCCATAGCAGCTGAGGCCTCCCAAGGTAGTCATTTCACCGCCAATTGCATCTTTTTTAAACAAAATAAACTTGTCAGTCCCTTGGTATCTTACTTACTTCATCTGGAAAATAGATAAATAGTCCCTGTTTCCTCATGAAGCTGAGCATTAATTGAGATGGTGCCAGGAAGGGGTGAATGTGTAAACTGCACACCTGATGGCCCACGAGGAGGCACTCGGCCAGAAAGAACACGTGGTCCACGTTGGGCAGGGGCTGCTGAGCTGGAGGCTCAGGCTGGGTTCTGGGCTTCTGAGGTTCTCTCTCTAACACGGCAGAGCCTTGTCTGCATGACTCCAGTCATGGGGACTCTTCTTGCCTGTTCCATCTTCGTTTCCCCGGGGGGAGTCCCCTCACTTGTGGGAGTCTACCACGTGCTCTCCTCGCCCCTGCTGCTCTCATCACACTTATCACTGGTTGGTGATTTCTCCCAGGCACTGCCATCCTGAAGGGCATTTTACATGTGGGGAGGTTTCCACTTGGTGAGGCCTTCCATGACTTGGGCTCCCCAAGCTTCGTGGTGCGCCTGCTTTCACATGACTGTGTGTTTGTGTGTGGGAGCGTGTTGCTGTGTGCTTGTGTGTGTCCATGTGTCAGCATGTGTGTTTGTGCATTTTTGTGAGTGCACGTGTATTGGTGCACACACGCGTGTGTGTTGAGGGTGGGGACCGGAACTTGGGCCTGTGAAGCTTTATCCTGTCTGTTTCAGCATCACAGGCCCCTCTCTTTTTACCCTCGTGCCGACCTTGGGCCTGCTGAAAGCCTAATAGTTTTCAAAAATAAACATAAAACCGTTACCACTGAAACTCGGGAGTGATTCTGCTTGTCTCTGAGGCAGGGGCTGTCCTGACTCCATGTTACACCCAGAACACCCCATGTGGAGGGTGTTGGGTGAGTTAATTCGAGGGGCCAGATGGAGGGCAGTGTGCAGAGCAGCCCCCGCCCCCAGGGACCTGGTGCCGGGGAGGGGCCGCCGCTGTGCACTGCTGGGCTGTTGGTCTTTTGCCTCTGGAACGCATGTGAACGTCTTTTCTGTGGTTTTGCCCTTGACAACAGCGAGAACTAGAGTTACAGCGCCAGCGGGATGAGCACAAGATCATGCAGCTGCAGCAGACGGTCAGGGAGCTGGAGGTGAAGGAGGCGGCGCACCTCTGCCCCGAGTCCCAGCGTCTGCGAGAGCAGCAGCAGGGCCTGGAGAAGGTTCGGCGGCAGCTGCTCTGGGCTGCTGGGCTTCTGACCAGCTTCCTCAGCCAGACCGTGGACAGGTGAGGTCCTCAGAACTGGCTAGTGCCATGTGATCATGCGCCTTCTGTGGTAAGAAAAATCCTGAAGTCTTTGAATTCAGGTCTGTGTTTTAATGAAGCTGACTCTTTCTTGTCCCGTGTTTGGATGAATTAGTTGGCAGCTCTCTCCAGAAGGGTGTTGACAAAATTGTATTTTTTGCATTCTAATATGAGAGTAAAATCCAGGTTTGTTTTAGATCAGTTCTCCCCATGTCCCTTTGTAATTGTTCACCACCCAGAGGGTTCGCTGGGGTGGGGCCGACGGTCTGTGCTGTGCCTGCCTCTCCCACGGCCCCAGAAGCACCGCTCACATGACCAGCATGCGTCTGCATGGTTGAGGAGCCGAGACTGTGGTGTTTTGTATGAATAGAAAAATTAATGTTTCCCCTTTTCAGCAAATACAGGTCTGCTGTCTATGCAGTAATTGGATTTAATTTATAGAGCAGTATGATCTCTAAGCAAAGTTTTGTTTAGCACAGTATTTTAGTAACCAACACAGAATCCCAGCAGAAAGCAACAGTAGGAGGCCTAAGCACTGAGGGAGCCTTGGTGGTCACTGGTCAGTGGCTGGAGGTTTCTGGCCTTCACAGACTGTCTACCCCAGGGCTGCACCACCTCATGCCTGCCACCATCATTAGAGGGACTCCCAGCCCCCACCTCTGAGGACAGAACACAGGTCGATGCAGTCCTTCACAAGCGTGTTCACAGTGGTCTATGCACAGTCCTCCTGGAACCCTGGGTGGTGCCTCAGTCTCCCTGGGGGCTGCACAGCCCCGTCTTCTCATCTCTTCAGCACAGAGTTCCTGCGTGGCTTTGGATAACTGTCAGTTGGGATCCGTCTGAACTTTTTAAATGTCATTTTACAGGACAATTAATGATTGGACGGCATCAAATGAGAAAGCAGTGACATCTTTATTGCGTACGTTAGATGAACTCAAGTCCGAATTGAGCACGTCCAGCTCCTCCCAGGTGAGAGACGGCGCAGCCGCTATCCCGCTCCCCCAAGCCTGCCCTGCTGCAGAGTTCCTCCCTCAACTCCTTCTCTGTTTTAAAGTTTGCCATGTGGGTGAATGAGTGGGTGGCTCCCATGTGATGTGTGTGGGCGGGCAGCTCTGTGTCGCCCCCAGAAGGCTGCGTGACTTTGCTGGCTCCCCTTCTCCTCCATGGGTGTTGGGGGCTCACGCGCACTTGGCCACCGGCCTGGCGTGCCCTCAGGTGGGTGCTGGTCTGTTCTGCTCGGAGGGCAGATGCCCCGGGGCTCCTCTGGCCCAGCCTGTTCCTCCTACACTCATGTTGAGAGCCTGAGCCAGAAATTCCCGAGGCCTCCTGTGGGGTTCTGAGCCCCTGGCAGCCGCATCTGTAAGTGTTTAGAAGTCCTGGTTGCTGATACAAATTCTTGGTAAATGTTCTGTGACAGTCATGAAATCACGAGGTTTATTGTGAAAGCAGTATGCATGTTAGGCAGCAGAAGAGCCGACCACTTGCTCACTGACCCCACTCTCAACTCTGACCCCACTTTCTCTCTGACCACGCTCTTGACTCTGACCCCGCTCGCTGAGCGTAATCAGTTGTTGTGGTGCGTCCTGCCTGCTTGTCGTTTGGGCACCACACTACTGCCTTCCTCAGTGTCCTGTACCCGCTGTGGACTGAATGTTACTCAGATTATGGAAATAACAACTCTGTTTTAAGGGGCTTATTCATTGGAGCCTCAGGGATGAACACACGATATCCCCGGGCCACCTCTTATGTGCTGCCTCTGTTTGCGGTGCTATTAGAACAGTCAGAGAGGTCTGAGTTCTGTTACTGGCTTACTTTGTTCATGCAGCCCAGTTTTGTGCAAAGTCTATTTCGTAGAGGGTTGAAGAGAAATGTGACTTGATGACTTTTTTTATTTCCTGTCCCATAGGTGGACAGCTCTGCCCAGCCCCACAAGCTTCCCACTCAACCCCAAATACATGTAAAATTATAATCTCTGAGAATAGTCAACAATAAAAAACACAAATAACCTGCATGCCTTTTAACAGAAAAAATTCTTATACATTTATTTTCGTTTTCTCCTTTTTAAGAAAAAAATGACAGCAGAGCTACAGATCCAACTGGTGGACGTCTTGCTGAAAGACAACGACTCCCTTACGAAAGCTCTCGGTGCAGTGACGCAGGAGAAGGCGGAGCTGTGCAGGGCTGTGTCCCAGCTGGAAAAGACCCTGAAGCACCACCTGCTGAAGGGCTGTGCGCTGAGGGTGGGTGTTCCCGCTTCTCCATCTCGGGTTCGGCTCCTGCCCGCTAGCCTGGGGGTGAAGTGAGCCGGGTTTCCTTCACGGCCGTGGGCGCCAGTGTCAGTTCTTCCTGGCTAGCCGTGGTGGGCGCTGTCCTCCCTCAAGGCCACAATATCTTATTTAACATTTTAGCGAATTTTCTGCTCTATTTGCAGACGCAGACACACACACGCACCCACGTGCTGTCACATGTGATCCTTGCCACGAGATGATGTTTAATACAAGTTCGTGAAAGGAAATTTTGACTAAGAATATAATAATCTGATGAAATAAGGGTTTTATTTGACTTTCATCCAATTAGAATGATTTATAATTTTTTTTTTTTAATAATTTTATTTATTTATTTTTCCCCCCAAAGCCCCAGTAGATAGTTGTATGTCATAGCTGCACATCCTTCTAGTTGCTGTATGTGGGACGCGGCCCCAGCATGGCCGGAGAAGTGGTGTGTCGGTGCGCGGCCGGGATCCGAACCCGGGCCGCCAGTAGCGGAGCGCGTGCACTTAACCGCTAAGCCACGGGGCTGGCCCCTGATTTATAATTTTCTTGACTGTGTAGTTTGATGGAATTTTTTCCTAAAATGTCTAATTTTTTTCTTCTTTAGATTGTTTTTTGTTTGGGATTTGCTTTACGTTTTTTACAATGAAAACTTTTTAAAACTTATTTTTTAATTACATATGGTAGAATCTGCCCATTGTTGGTGTGGTGTCATTTGACTTTACACACGTGTAGATTCTTGTGCTTGACATCACCACCACCGTTGAGAGTACACAGCAATTCGGCCGCACCCTGTACCCTCACCCTGTCCCCCCGGCACACTGTCCCCCCCACACTGTGTCCCCCCAGCATCCTGTCCCCCCTACACGCTGTCCCCCCAGCATCCTGTCCCTCTGCACCCTATTCCTGGCTGCCGCAGCCTCTGACTTGGGCTCTTCCCTGTCGTGTCTTATCCCGAATGTCATATCTGTGGGATCACACAGTGATCACACAGTGTGTAACCTTTTGAAGGGCTCTTCACTTCTTTGGTAATGCATTTGAGTCCTGGCTATCAATGTGTCAATAGCTTATTCCTTTTTATTGCTGAGCAGCATTCCATTTGCCTGCTGGAGGATATCTGGGCTGTTTCCAGTTTTTGACTGTTATGAATAATGCACCTATAAACATCTGTGTGCAGGGTTTTGTGTGGATGTAAGTCTCACTTCTCGGGTATAAATGCCCAGGAGTGGGACTCTAGGCCCTTTGTACGTCCATATTTAACACTGCCAAAGTGTTTTCCAGAATGGCTGCACCGTTTTGCTTTCCCTCCAACAAAACGTGCAAGTTCCATTTACTCTGCATCTTCGCGTTTGGTGTCATCAGTACTTTTCATTTTAGCGTTCTGATAGATGTGAAGTGGTATCTGTGTATCTTCTTTGATGAAGTGTCTGTTAGTCTTCTGCCCATTTTAAATTGGATTGTTTGTTTTCTTATTGTTTTGAGAGTTGAATCCAGTTCATATTCTGGATTCAAGTCCTTTGTCACACATGTTATTTGCAAATGTTTTCTCCCAGTGTGTGCTACCTCTCTGTCTAGTATCCTTTACAAAACAAAAGTTTTTAATTTTGATGAATTCCTATGTATTGATTTTTTCTTTAGTGGAGCATGCCAAGAGTTTTGTAGTTTACTTTTCACATTTAGGTCTATGATCCGTTTTGAGTTAATTTTTGTTTATAGTCTGAGGGATAGGTCGAGGATTATCTTTATGCATGTTGATACCCAGTTATTCTGGCACACTTTGTTGAAAAGATTGTCCTTTCTCCTTGAACTGTCTTTGTATCTGTGTCAAAAATCAGCCAGCAATCTTGGTGTGTATGTCTCTGGATGCTCTATTCTGCTTCACTGTTCTACATGTCTTTCCTTTACCAGCTGCCTGATCGATACAGTTTTATGTTACATCTTCATATCCAGTAGTGGGAATACTCCACTTTTTTCTTCTTTTTCAAATTGTTTGGCTATTCTGGTTCCTCTATCCTTTAATATAAATTTTAGGACCCTTGCTGGTCATTTTGATTGAGATTGTGTTAAATCTATAGATCAAGGTGGGAAGAATTGAGAAGGTAGAATGGTGCAGCCGCTTTGGAAAACAGTCTGGCAGTTCCTCAAAATGTTAAACACAGAGCTGCTGTCTTCCCCAGCAATTCCACTCCTAGTTATTTACACAGAGAAATGAAAATATATGTCCACATCAAAACTGGTACACAGATTTTCCGATCACCATTATGCATCATAGCCCTAAAGTAGAAATAACCTAGATGTCCATTAATTGACTGATGGATAAATAAAATATGGTATGTCTGTAAACAGAGTATTATTTGGCACTAAAAAGGAATGAAGGACTGTTGCATGCAACAGTGTGGATGGGCCTGAAAAACGTTATAAGTGAAAGAAGCCAGTCACAAAAGACCATATATTGTGTGATTCCATTTATATGAAATGCGCAGAACAGGGAAATCCATTGAGACAGAAAATAGATGAGTGGTTGTCAGGGGCTGGGGGAGGGTAATGGAGAGTGACTGCTAATGGGGACAGGTTTTGGTGGTGATGAAAATGTTCTTGACTTAGATAGTGCTGATGGTTGCACAACCCTGTTAATATACTAAAAATCAATTTTACTGTATACTCTAAAAGGATAAATTTTGGGGCTGGCCCGGTGGCACAAGCAGTCAAGTGCACACACTCCGCTGCAGCGGCCCGGGGTTCGCCGGTTCAGATCCCAGGCGCACACTGACGTACTGCTTGTCAGGCCATTCTGTGGCGGCGTCCCATATAAAGTGGAGGAAGATGGGCACAGATGTTAGCCCAGGGCCAATCTTCCTCAGCAAAAAGAGGAGGATTGGCAGATGTTAGCTCAGGGCTGATCTTCCTCACAAAAAAAAATAATAATAAAAGGATAAATTTTATGGTATGTGCATTATAATCTCAGTAAAGCTATTTACTGAGATTTTTTACTCAGTAAAAAAATTGGGGCAAGAATTGACATCTTAACTATATTTTGAACTTAATTGAATCTTCCCATCCATGAACTTGGCATGTCTCTCCACATATGTAGATCTTTTAAAATTTCTTTCTTCGATGTATTGTAGCTGTCAGCATTCAGATCCTATAAACCTTTTGTTATATTTATACCTAAATATTTCATTTTTCAGGGGGCTGTTGTAAATGGTACTTTTCAAAACATTTTGTCCTCCAGTTGTTCATGGCTGATGTACAGACATGTGATTGATGTTTGTAGGTTGACCTTATGTCCTACGGCCTTGCTAGCCTCACTTTTTAGCCCCATGAGCCTTTTTCTAGGATTTTCTACGTAGACAATTAATGTCATCTGTGAATAGGGAGTTTTATTTCCTTCTTTCCAATTTGAATACCTTTGATTTCTTTTTCTTGCCTGTTGCACGGTTGGATTTCCAGAACATTGTTGGGCAGGCATGGTGAAGAGCACACTCTCATCTTGCTCCCTGTCACAGGGTTGGAACTTCAACTCTCACCGCGAAGGATGAGGCAGGTGCTTTTGTGAAGGCTCCTTATCTGTTTGAAGACGTTCCCTTCTGTTCCTAGTTTTCTGAGACTTGTAATGATGAATGGATGTTGAAATTTGTCATGCTTTTTCTGCCTCCATTGATACGATGATGTGGGTTTTCTTTTTTATTAATATGGTGGATTACATTAATTTTTGAATGCCGACTCTATTTACCTTGTAGTCCCAGGAAAAACCCCAGTTGGTCATGCTGTGTTTTTTTATATGTTGCTGCATTCAATGTGCTAACATTTTTTGAGCGCTTTTGTGTCTGGGTTCCTGAGGGATGTTAATGTGGAGTTTTTTTGTATTTTCTTTGTCTAATTTTGGTCTCATAAATGAGGGGATGTGTTCCTTCCTCTTCTGTTTTCTGGAAGAGATTCTGTAGCGCTGGTAATATTTTTTCCTTAAATATTTGTTAAAATTCATCAGTGGAAACCATCTGGGCCTAGTGTTTCCTTTCTTGGAAGGTTTTTTGTTTGTTTGTTTTTTTATTGATGTCATAATAGTTTATAACATTGTGAACTTTTGGTTGTACATTATTGTTTGTCAGTCACCGTAGAAATGCGTCCCTTCGCCCCTTGTGTCTACCCCCCAAACACCCTTCCCCTGGTAATCACCAAACTGTTCTCTCTGTCCGTATGTTAGTTTATCTTCTACATATGACTGAAATCTTGTGGTGTTTGTCTTTGTCCGGCTGGCTTATTTCATTTAACATAATACCCTCCAGGTCCATCCATGTTGTTGCAAATGGGATGATTTTCTTTTTTTTATGACTGAGTAGTATTCCATTGTATATATATACCACATCTTCTTTATCCGATCATCAGTCGAGGGACACTTGGGTTGCTTCCACTTCTTGGCTATAGTGAATAATGCTGCAGTGAACATAGGGGTGCATAAACCTCTTTGGATTGTTGATTTTAGGTTCTTTGGATAGATACCCAGTAATAGGATAGCTGAGTCATAAGGTATTTCTATTTTTAATTCTTTGAGGAATCTCCATACTGTTTTCCATAGAGGCTGCACCAGTTTGCATTCCTAGCAGCAGTGAATGAGGGTTCCCTTTTCTCCACATCCTCTCTAACATTTGTTATTTTTTGTCTTGGTGATTATAGCTGTTCTAACAGGTGTAAGGTGATATCTTAGCGTAGTTTTGATTTGCATTTTCCTGATTATTAGTGATGTTTAACATCTTTTCATGTGCCTATTGGCCATCTGTATATCCTCCTTGGAAAAATGTGTGTTCATATCGTTTGCCCATTTTTTGATCAGGTTATTCGTGTTTTTATTGTTCAGTTGTGTGAGTTCTTTATATGTTATGGAGATTAATCCATTGTCAGATATGTGATGTACAAATATTTTCTCCCAGCTGGTGGGTTGTCCTTTCATTTTGATCCTGGTTTCATTTGCC